GATTCATATGGAACAACAAAAGACCTCGAATAGCCATCTTCAACACACTGAAAGATCCCTTGTTAAAATGTTCACAGTTTATAGGAAGAAGTCCAAATCCTTAATAAGACATATGAGCTTTAAAATATGGTCCTTTTATGCCAAAAATATAGCTTTTATTCTCCATCTGTGATATTTCTGCCAGGTTTAGTCACACGGAGCTTGGAATGAAGGTGCAGATTCCCTCAAAACTCATCATGTTTCTCAAGTTGCCAGGTATCTGCACCTAGTATACTGATAGCCTGAAATGTCTCTCCTATCTCATTCCCTCTGGAAATCGCCTGCATTCTTTTAAAAATCAGTTAATGCTCCCTCCTCTATTAATTTTCCCTGGTTCACATCATGGTTCTCTTCTCTCTTCCCCTCCTCTATCTCCAATAAAGACAGAGTTGGGCATTTCTTCCACTTCATGTTTGCTATGACACTTAACCAAATTATGACTGTTTACAAGTCTGTTTTCTTCACAAAATTATATTTCCTTATTAAAAGTGAACTTTCTCCTTATTATATATGCATCCCCATACTCTAACACAGTTGGTTCTCAATAAATATTTCTTGAATGCTTATACGAATAAATGAATGTTCATAGAAATGTTATGTGTTAACAACAGGATCCCTGAGTATGCTTCAAAGTACCTAAAACCATCATATAATTGTGACCTCTGGCTTGGGGGAGGAAGAGTGAGGTCATATATAAAAGAGGTACTCACAGTTCACTCATGTAGAGGAACCAACAGACATGATAATACTACAGGTTTCTAGACAATTTTATAGTTGCAAAAAAGTTTTAAAAATAGGAAACAATATGTAGCTTATAATGATTAGCTAATGAGTATTTATTCATCAAATTCTTCAACAATTCAACAATTCAAGAATTCCTTACAATTCTTCGTAAGGAAAACCCCAGGGGAAGTGCTGGTCAGTTCAATCAACCAGTAAAAGAGATATATCCTAATTCCAATTTCAAGAAAGCCATTTTTGGAAAGAGATTAATTAAAACATTGAAGGGAAGTTCTGAAACAACCATATTAAATTATTAACTGTGCTTATTTCTGGGTAATTTCTACAACTAATGTCATTCAATAAATATTTTATGGAGCATCTATCTGTCTACTGGTGCGCAATGATAAATAAGAGGTATCTGTTCCTATCCCCCAGTGCTAAATATGTAATACTCAATCAGAAACATGTAATAAATAATAATATCAATCAGAATAAGAAATGTGAGTATAAAAAATACATGAGATTGCCCACTTTAAATTTATGGCCCACAAAATGCAAGAACAATTCCTAGTACTTATCTGGATTCTAGGCTGGAAACAATTTTGATATAAGTATTTGGATAAAGACTACCCAAATGGCTTACCCTGTTGACTATGAACTGCATCATGACATTATTAGAACGCTGTGGACAGAAGGAAATACACTAAATCTCCATAGTCCCTTTTCTTGTTAGCAAATTTAAAAATTAACAATAAATTAACAAAATTTTTAAATTAACAAAAATTAACAAATAAAATTTTCCCTGTTAAAATTTGGCCTGTCAAGTCCTCCTGATGGTGCAAGGGGTTAAAGCACAGAGCTATAAAGCTAATGACAACCACTTCAGCATGAGTTTGATCCCTGGCCAGGAAGGTGACCCACATCGTACAGTAGACCTCTCCTGTCTCGCCCACTGCTTTCCTCAGCAGTGTATTTCTGTCGATCTGCCTATTCTGTTTCCCACTCCGTCTCTGGTGAATCCTCTCACCGCCTATATCCAGTTCTTGCATGCACAAATAAATAAATCTTAAAAAATAATAATAAAATTTAACTCATAATTCATCTTCCATCAACATTTCTTTTTTCTTTGCCGTTTCTCCTCCCTTGCACCATTTGCTCTGGTCCTAGATCACTTTCACAACTTATCTAAAAGAATCTCGATGTTCCTCTACTTTCAACCAGGAAACAGTTTATTTAAGATTGAGTTCTCCCCTCTTGGAGACTCTGAAAAAAATAAAGGAGTTTCTAAGGGGAACTGTGATTTTCTTCACAAAAAAGAACACCGAAATAATTCACAAAGAATCTCTGAAGTATAGTCCTTTTGAAACACCTAAGAGTGGGAGACCCTAGATTTTTAATACATAAACAACAATGTAAACCAATGCTGTAGCAATTATAAGAATAATAGGTAAATAAGAAAATATTTCTAAAACTTGCTAGGATTTTCAGCTCATCAGAAGCAGAGATAAAAAGCAAAATTACTCTAACTAAGCTCAGAATTTCAGCACCACAGTTTATGTTTTGGGGCATATTAAGCAGTAGATATAAGCTGACAAAATTCAGTAGATATAAGCTGACAAAAATAGGTATGCATGAAATAGTGTTTCAAAAATATTTTTCCTAGAGAATTCAAGTAATTGAAATTTGTAATAAAAATAAATATGCAGGATATTATAACAGGCATTACAAGCATATGTAAAATATTAAAATATTAAATGGTAACATACGATTGAGACATAAAAAGCATAAACCAGCGAACTAGGAGACTGAATTACTGGTCATTCATTCTTCAGTTTTAGAAAGCACCTACTCTTAAGTCAGGCATAATTCTAGGTGCTTATAAAAGTGAATAAAACAGGTAAAATTCCTGCCCTCATAGAGTATGTTAATAATACCCAGTAAATAAGAAAATAAGTAAAACATTTATGTTAGCTTTGCTTAAGTGCAAAGAAAAAAATAAAGTAAGCTAAAAAAAATGGACTATTAAAATAGCATTTTCTGGGCTGTAAAAGCAAGGAGGTAAGGGTACAAGTCACGAGCCTATCTGAAGAAACACATTCTGAGCAGAGGAAATAGAAGTAACAAAAGTCCAAAAGTGGAAAGATGCTTATATTTAAGAAAAAAAACAAGCAGTACAAAGGAGGAGGAAGAGTAGTATGAGGTTGGAGAGATCCGTGGAAGAGCATGTGAGTTAAGATTTTCATGGGCTAGCAGAATAAAAACTGGTGGAAATATAATAGAGGTGGAAGGTAATTGTAAGTAATCTGCACAAAGGAAAATAAAGGACCAGAAGCCCCTAATGTATTAAGGATGGTTAGGAGTCAGAAATTGCCTAGAATGGATGAGTACATATATAAGAATGAGGGCTCATGCATGTGAGGGAAGGGACCATGTGGAGGGAGGAGGAAGGTAGTACATTCCAAATACTGCCTTAAAGCCTCTGTTTAGGAGCTGTGGAAGAGAGACAGAGACACAGAGCAAGCAGGAAGGCAGCAGAGTGAAAAGCAGTCACTAGCTGCCCCTTTTGTATAACCCTTAGCTTTCCCTGGCAGCAATGACAAAAACTGCTCAGGACAGTTGCTTTAGTTGTTATATCTATAAAGAAAAAAGGTGGAGGCCTTGAGATTTTTGTGGGGAAAACACTCTTTTTAACTTTTCTTATTCTAGAAACAAGAGAAAATGTACAAGATGCTGGAATTTAGACAGTTGTAATAGTAACACGACCTGTAGTGAACCAGTCTAATGCACAGTGAATCATAAAACTACAATGATTAAAAAGTGGGATTGAGAAGGCAAAAGGGAATTTCAGTTTTTTAAAGAGCACTCCGTAACATGTCTAGTCCAGGATAAATGAGTAAGGATAAACTACCTCTAACAGTTCATAGTGAAAAAGAGGATTCTGTTATAATTCTCCACTTTGAATTGCAAGCTAGTCACAAAACAAGAGCAGGGGGTTTCTCATAACACTTATACCGGGAACAGTGCCTAATGCAGAAGATTCAAATGCCTGTCAAAGCAATAAAAAGCTTACCCATTACAATCCATTTTAGTTGAGTCAAGCAGTGTTTGAACTGTAATGCCACCACCTGACCTGTTACTATTAATGGGAAGATATTAAAGAAAAGTATAAAAGTAGGAAGGGATATTTTCTTTCCTTCTATTCTATATTGCCATTTGCACCAAACAATATAACCCAAAGGAGTCTACGGATTGATTACCTATGCCTCACAAGGCCATTTCAGTTCTATGCAGTGTTGTTTGAAATTATGGGAAACATATCATAATTAAATTTAAACAAAGCTGTTGCAAACATTAAAGGAAATTTCTACTAATATACCCATGAGTGGCATTAACATTCTCTGTTTAGTACAGCGAACAAAAAGTATAACACAATCTCAAATAATCTTTTCTAGAGCCCTCAAGAACTCAGAGAATATAGGAAATTGGATTAACCTCTGTGACTTTTTTTTTAAATCTCATATTAAGAGTAACTCACCCTCAATTAATACAAACAGCATAATTAAAAAGGCAGCAGCTCTTCTCTACTCTGGGTCATGGGAGGTTATTAAATCCCAGAGAGAGGAACTGTTAAAGCGGGGGTGGGGTGGGGGGGGAGTCAAACAGATACAAATGATGAAACTTGTGCCGGGAAACGTTTATTGCCATATCGGATAATGTTTGTGTGCATGTCTTTAACTCAGTATTAAACCGTGTTCAGTCGAGCTTGCGAGGGCGTTTCATACAACTTTCTAAGTCAAGCTCATTCATTAAGAAAGTTGTCTTTAAAAAGCAAATGTCGGGAAGCCAATACTCCTTTCAGTCTACGTCTTCCACAAAGCATTTTCCACGCTGACTTACAACATCCTAAAGTGCAATTCCGTAATCAGATTCGAACTCCTTCCAACACAAGTAAGCAAGCGTTAAAAGGCCTTTACACCGCCACCAAGGGAAGAAAAAAAGAAAGGAACACAGTGTGTGGTTAGTTCTCCTTGTTGGAAGCGATCAGAGCAGGCAATGAATAGACGGTGGTCTGAACTGAGTAAAGGGGACCCCGGCCTCTCCACCCCCAAGACCAAACAACAAAAGCATCCCCCGCCCTCCACATAGTTGGCGGGGAAGGAGCCCTGAGCCCGCGAGCCAGCCCGCCGCAGGAAAAGAGGGACAAGCCGGCTCCCGGGCCGGGACGCGGCCTGCCTCACCTTATAAACGTCCCCGTAGGTGCCGCTGCCGACCCTCTGGACCAGCTCGTAGTCGTGCTGCGGATTCCGCCTCAGGATGTCCGCGGCAGGCCGCAGCGGGGCCTCCATCTTCGCTCAGGGCCCGGCCCCCGCCGGCTCAGCCCCCGGCGCCCCGATTCCCGCTAACGAGGGCGAGTGGGGCCGCTTCCCAACATGGAGCCTCGGTCCGCAGCTCCGCCTGCACCAAAGGCGAGCAAAGGCGGGTCGGCACCGCGGGCGACTACCCCGGACGGCCCAACCCCGTCCCTTCCGCCCCGGGGGGCGGCGGAGGAGTGGGCCTGGAAAGGTTCCCCCCGCGCGCCGTAGCCCCGTTTCGGTCGCGGCCCTCTCTCCTCCCCGGCCACCCGCAAACTGCCCAGTCGGCCTCCGCGCTGGCCCGGGACCCCGGCCGACTGGGTACCTGAGGGGGTCGGCCCCGCTCTTTGTTGAGCGCCGTTCCCGGGACCTACTTCTCCGCCGGCGCCTGCGTCCTGCTGTCCGCGGCCCCCCGTCGCCCCAGATCCTGCGCCGCCGCGGGCCGCTGCGCCGCACGTCCTCTCGCAGGCGGCAGAGGCGCGTACCGTCGCCGCCGCCGCCGCACCACGTTCCCCACCCGGGGCTGCGTCACCGGAGGAGCGTTCCCGGTCAGCGTGGGTCCGTGCCCAGCCGCCAGTCCGAGAGCACCGGCCGCGCGACCAGAGTGCCGCCCTGAGGCCTGATCGCGACACGACACCCTCCCGGCCGGGCCGCCGCGCCCCCCAGCCGGCTGCGTCCTCTCAGGGCCAGGACCCTCCTGCCCACCCAGTCAGAATAGGGGCGCCCTTGGGCTTTCGAGGGGTGACGGGCCTCGGCCAAACCGTCCCCAGAGCCGTCAGGTAAACTTAGAAGGTGACGGGTAGAGGGAGAAGGGTGGGCACGAGGGCGATTGGAACACAATCCTCCTAGTTCAACGCGGAAAAGGTACGTTGAGGGCACAGGGCCAGAAGTAACCTGGCCGTGGGGCTCCAGGAAAGGAGGTGGGGGAGTGCCAGGTTAACTAAGCCGCACCACACCCTACTGCACCTTCCTGTTTTGCAAACCATTCCCAGTGGTACCAGTTTGAAACTGCACGGCACACCTGCACAACCTGTCTTCTACTGAGTTTTCCCGAGATATTTCTGAAAACCTGGTTTCCTAGGTATCCTCAGTGACCTTGTCTGATATACACGGTATCTCACCGCGGATATTACACCTTTAATGGAAGCAAGGCTTCTACAGCACCCAAAGCAAGTGAAGAGACCACACCTGCTTCAGACTCTGCCCCTTCCTCAGTACATGACCAGAGAAAGGACATCAAGTTTGACAGTATCTCAGTATCTTTGCCTGCAACTTGAGGAGGATCTACATCTGACACCCAAGAAAGTGTTTACAAAGCAACTTTCAGGATTATAAAGAAGGTTATCAAACATAAGAGGTTTTAAGATAGCTCACAATGTATAGACCATTGGGCAGGAGTTCAGAAAGGCAATTTGTCTGATATTTCACAAGTTATTTCACAGCTGCAATTTCCTTGTTCTAAATATAGAAATCAAGTTGCCAGATTGTTGTATCCTGACAAAGATTATTTCTAGAGCCCAGTAGAGGTTTTGAACAGAAAAGCCAGATTAATACTCAGCCACTGCATTTAGTGACTGAAAAAAATCACAAAAGAGCAACTTAGAGATACTGGCATAAGACTTTGAGTATCCAATCAATTTTGTTCTTGGGCAATATACTTCTTATTGTTGACCACTCTACTCAGTTGTATAATATAGAAATTAAATTCCTACCTTATTAGGACATGGAATATATATATTTTCTTCTGCTCCATGCACATAGGCTGCTTATTTAGGGGACATAAGTAAGCTCAGACTTACAAGCAGTATGGACAAAGCCCGTGTGTTTGGTGCACTGAAAAAATAGTTGAAGAACAGTTTCTTCTTTCAAAGCTTTTTGGCACTTGTTTTGGTGGGCACATACTTTTGGCTTCAGTCACTCAATTTTTTTTCAAATGTTCTATTGGTATCCTCATACTTGTGTACTATCATAGATTTTTTTTTTATTTAGACTGAGCATTCAGTTTTTAGTCTGAAATTTATTCTTAGCAGCAGATAGTTTAGGGCAGCAAAGTCTGTATTATATAAAACAAGATAAGTAAATGAGGAAGTAAGTCTTTATAAGAGAAAAGAGGATAATGGTACAATGCAATGAATTGGCTTCAGCAGGGTCTTTTGTAGAGTTTGAGACCACATGAACCAGTTGATGGAGACCAAAGTACAACTTTTCCTAACACTAAGATTTTAGAAAAATTTACCTCAGGAAACTTCATAAAGTAGAAACTGAATTCCCAGTTTGAGATGAGGACAAAAGTCCTATGATAATCCTTCAAACATGTTGCCTTAAAAGCAATGATTACAGTTGTGTTTAGCAATATGGATATGGATTAGGCAATAAAAAGTTTGATGTCATAGACTTCACTGCGACTTTGAAGTGCAGATATTTTATGTTGCCAGTCATGTGCTTTGACTATCCACATAGATGTGGACATCATGGAAAAGTTGAGATTCTATGTGGTGGTTAAAACAGTGTGTCTGCTATAATCATTATTTTACTTATACAATAAGTATAAAGAAAATATTTGCTGTGGTATATTTACACAATGGAATATTACTCAGCAATCAACAAGGATAAACTCACACTTTTTGCAACAGCATGGATGGAGCTAAAAGGGATTATGCTCAAAGAAATAGCCAGAAAGAAAAAAGAAAAAGAATGAATGGTCTTACTAATAGGAATGTAGAGGAAGCAAATAAGGAATTGAGGGGGGGAAAGTATAATAAAGTAAAAATCAAAATCATCAGGCAACTATAGATCAGAGACATTCTGTAGGGGAGGAGGACCGAGAAGGATCAGAACAGAAGTGGGAAAAGCACAGGGGACTATGGTGGTGGGAATTTCACAGGAAAGTCATACATTGTACAAAAATGAAAGATGATGTAATAAATACATATTTTAAAATATTCATTTGGAGTTAGCATAAAGCAAGTGATTTTATTTTTTATTTTTATTTTTAATTACTTTTAAAACTTTTTAATATAAACTTAAGAGATCATCCAAGTAAAAAATTTCTAGGTTTGACAATCAAACCTAGTTTAACTCACTGCAATGGAGAACCAAAACATATTACCCAGTTTCTACAGTTAGGTCAGTTTACAAGCCTGGACTCCAATAATTAAGGGGATGCCAGTTTCCTTCCAGGAAGAATTCTGCAGTGCAGCCAGGTAAAAACAGTGAATCTTTCGTGAGGTAATTCCCTTTGACCTTTTACCCGTGACTGTGAATTGATGAATGGGAACATCCCAAACCTTCTGGAAGTTAATAGACACTAATCCCTGCAGTCTCAAAATACCACCAAAAGTCCAGAGATCAGAATGGTTAGTTAAAGTCAAGTACAGTCTTCACTCAGATATATTTCATTCTGAGTATAGTGGGCCTGAAGTATGCACTGGGGTTATTTTTCCAGACCCGAAATGATTTACCTAGTAGTATAATTCTTATATTTACTATATATGGAACAAGGGCTATTGTGATTGGAAGGGTTAAATGATACCTCACTAGCTAATACTTTTGCTTTGTCAAAGTAGAGAGAGAAAAATGAAACTGTATCAGTGAGGAAATTACAGAAATTAGTGTTACCATTAAAGCTCCTAAAGGTATCTATCCCTTTTAACTCAGGTAACAGCCAGGTTAGACTTGGGGAATGTCTGTAGATTGCTAAAAATGCATTCAGGTGGTGATGCCAATCATCATTATAGTTCCCCATGTGGAATCTTTACTAGGTCTGACAATCAGAAACCTAGCAAGTCAACACAACCCTTAGTTGTGAGTAAGTCAACTCAAGCCCTTAGTACCTGGAATATAGCTATTGATTTTGAACCTAGAATGTAACTCTCTTTTCAATTTTCCTCAAGATAATCAGGTGATTTCATACGACTGTGGTGACAAGGTGGGGAGGGAGCACAATGAACTATAGGTGTTTTGGTGGTAGGTACTATGTAGTAATAATACCTTGAGAGAGCCTATACTTCTAAAACACAAACAACAACAATGTAAGCCAATGTTCCTTTAAAAAAAAAAAAAACAAGGTCTTGGATCATATATAAGGGAGTAAAATTTGGGTCACCTCACCAGATGAGATAATAGTAGAAAAGGGAAAATGGAAGCTGGAATGGTTGGTTACCTGGGCCTTATGCTTGAAAGCTATCCAGCTATCCTCTCTCCTCTTTTTCTTCTTTCCTTATTATCAGAACTATAATTTTGTTGGCCTTTTTCAAGTAATCGTATCTGACAAAGGAGAATAATAACCCTCCTCAATCTAGGAGATAAACCTTGGCTCAGACTTATTCCTCTTGTTAAAGTTATGTTTTAGACTTAGTCAATTCTGGATGACACAGACGAAAAGTGCACTGGTGTGTTTCCAGGAAGGCTTATTCATCTTTAATGAGATACACAAGACTTAGACATGCCTTTTTCTGTCTTAGGCATGACTATCTCCCTCTGGTGACTAGAATGGCAAATGCCATTTAGGGGACCATGAAATGAGCAAACATTAAAAATTGAGCCTATGCACTGAAGATGGTAGAGTAAAACCTTGGTTCTTCTGGCAAAGTCTGCCGGTATTCTCCGATGTTCCTTTCTTTCTTTAGTATCAGGTTCCCTACATCTTAGTTGGGTAAATGATATTTTTATCTATGAAGTAGCACATGGTAAGTGGTATTTGAGTAGAGATGATATGTGCAACTTCTGGGCTGTGCCCTTACAATGGATATATCTGCTTCTTTTCTTGCTTCCTTTCTACCTGACTGGAGTGTGGATGCTAATACCCAAGCTAAAAAAGAAGGAGTCCTCTGGTTAACAGAAACCCCAATTTAAGGGTGGTGTTTGGTTTCCTTGATATCGTGAAGCCATCATATTAGCCCTACATGGTTAATGTTTTGATTATTTCGTGAAAATGAAATAGCTGTAACTTTTAAACCACAATCAAATCTTTATCCTAGCTAATGTAGTCATAATGATGTTGACCATAGAAAAAATCTGTCTTCAAATTGTTATAAATGTCCTTTATGGGTAAGTCATTTGAGTTATAGCCAAGAGCGTTCTAATTGATCAAAGTACTTTTTTAAGATTGCTAGTTATAAAAAAAAAAAAGAATAAGTTGACACATCAACTATTGAGCTATTGAGCTATTGAGAAACTCCTGATTGAGAGAACACTTTTCTTATGATGGAGGAAATGAACATAGTAAATGAACAAAATGGAAAAATGTAATTGAGGGGTATGAGCAAGAATTAATAGTTTTGGAATAACATCCCAGAAAAGTAAAGAAAAGGCTCCATAGCACTAAAGTACAATGGAGTAATGCTTTTTAATGTATTTTTCTAATTTAAAATAAACTTACACTTGCTTTATTGGAGTCAAAGAAATTCTGGCCTCATTAGATGAGTTAGAGAGATTTCCCTCCTCTTCAGTATTGTTGG